TTGTGTGTATGTACCATAGTTTGGTTATCCATTCTTCTGTTGATGGGCACCTAGGTTGTTTCCATCTTTTGGCTATTGTAAATAGTGCTGCGATGTACATGGGTCTGCAAATATCTGTTCTTGTCCTGGCTGTCACTTCTTTAGGGTATATACCTCATAATGGAATGGCTGCATCAAATGGTATTTCTAGTTCCAACTTTTTAAGAAATCTCCATACTGCTTTCCACAGTGGTTGTATCATTTTACAGGCCCACCAGCAGTGTATGAGAGTACCAATCTCTCCGCATCCTCACCAGCATTTGTTATTTTCTGTCTTGTTGAACTTTGCTACTAGTCCTGGGGCAAGATGGTATCTTATTGTTGTTTTGATTTACATTTCTCTAATGGCTATTGATCATGACCATTTCTTCATATGTTTGTTGGCCACCTAAATATTCTCTTTGGTGAAGTGTCTGTTCATGTCTTCTGCCCATTTTTAAATTGGATTATTTGTCTTTTTGTTTTTGAGGTGTTAGAGTTTTCTATAAATTCTAGAGATCAGTCCCTTGTCAGATATGTAGGACTGTTTTTAAGCCTGTTTTCAGATGAGGAAATTGAGGTTTAGAGAGGTTAAAATATTTTTCCAACATTTGATCTGTTGTTGTTGTTGTTATGTGCCGTCGAGTTGTCTCCAACTCATAGCAACCCCTCCTTGGGTTTCTGAGGCAGTATCTCTACAGAAGTAGGTTGCCCAACCTTCCTTGGGAGGAGTGGCTAATGGATTTAACCTTCTGGTTAGCAGTCAAGTGCCTTAGGCATTACGCCACCAGTGCTCCCAACATTTGATCTAGGTAAACTAATTTCAAAACCCTTTCTTACAGCCATTGTTCTACCCTTTCTTTTTCTCCCTTCTCAGGGACCTCTCTGTTCATCTGATATTCCAGTTTTTTCCTCCTCTGTATCTTCTGGCTTGCTATATACCAGAATTTTAATATGCACAAGTCTATTCCATCTATTAATATGAACATCCATCCTCCTAAAGCTACCACCTCTCTTTCATAACTAAAATTATCAAGAAAGCTCTCCACCATTTCTACACTCATATTCTCCCCTTTCCTCTCATTAACTCCTAGGCAACTACAATCTGCCATCTGCCCATCAATATCCAAGGTCTCCAGAGACCTCCATGTTGCAAATTCAAATGGATTCTCCTTGAATCACACCTTATGTGGCATTTCTGCTACATCATTTCATACTACTGATCCCCTCTTCTTTCTAGAAACACTTTCTTCCTTTATCTCTACCCTTTCCTGATCTTATTTGCATCTAACTGCTTACTCCAAGTTTAATATGAGGGCCCATCATTCTCTGCTAGTTACTGTGGTATTTCAGACTTCATACTAAGCTCCTTTATTGTCCAAGAGCCCTAGTGGTGCAGTAGTTGAGTGCTCTTTCTTTGCATGTGTCTCATGCCATTTTGTGGCTTTTATTACTGTCTAGCTGCTGATGAATCACAAGTCTGTATCTCTATTTGTCCTGAGTGTCAGCTCTTTACATCCCCTTGCCTGCTGGATATCTCAGTTTGGATTTCCCTCCAGAGTCTTTAGATTCAAAATGTGTAAAACTGAGCTCACCTTCTTTAAGGCAGGATAGAGAAGAGATTAAACTTGTGGGTTTAGAATCAAGCCTGATTCTGCCATTTACCATGAGTGTGGCCTTTTTGCATGTGTAAAATGAGCATGCCATGAGTTGGCACTAATAAAACAAAAATGGGGATAAAATGACACCTACCTCACAGGGCCATTGGGAGAATACAGAGTGAATTGTCAGTGGGTATCAGCCACTGCTCTTACCTCCATCACCATGAGGGCTAGCAAGAATTGCACAGTTTAGATGTAAGTTCCCCCTGGAGCCTTGCCTTATTCTGTTGTAAATTGTTGTTGAATTGACTCTGACTAATGGAGACCTTAATATTATAACAGAACAAAATGTCTCCTCCCCGTGTGATCTTCATGATCATTGGTATGTTTGAGCCCACTGTTGTGGCTGTTACATCAGTCTATCTCATTAAGGGTTTTTCTCATTTGTGCTGACCTTCCACTTTACCAACCATGATGTCCTTTCTAGTGCTTGGTCTCTTCCTGATGATACAGCCAAAGTAAGCAAGTGAAATCTCACCATCTTTGCTTCTAAGTAGCATTCTGATTGTGTTTTCTCTAAGACTAATTTGTTCTTCTAGAAGTCCACCATATATTCAGTATTTTTTCACCAATACCATAATTCAGTCACATAGGTTCTTTTTTCCTTTTACATTGTCTTGCTGTTACATGCATATGAGGTGATTGAAAAGAGTGTGATTTGGGTCAACAGCACCTTAGTCATTAAAGTGACATTTTTGCTTTTTAAAACTTTAAATTGGGCTTGTGCAGCAGATTTGCCCAAGGCAATATGTTGTTTGATTTTTTTGACTGTTGCCTTCATGGACATGGATTATTGATACAAGAGGGATGAAATTGTTAGCAATTTCAGTTTTTTCTCCATTTATCATGATGTTTTTATCAGTCCAGTTACTACCGAATTGTGGGATCAGGACTCCCCTCTGTATTGTAGCACTGTGTTCTTCCTCAGTCATGCCTCATGACTTACTGGGGTGAACCCTTTCTGTTTACTGTCAGTTACAGAGTAAGAGCCCCGTAGTGGCAGTGGCCACATCTGTCTTACTGACTGTTGTGTCACCTGTGCTTGGCATAGTGCCTGGCACTAATTTGATACTCAGTGAAAATGTCACATTAGAGATGATCATACTAAGACTCAAATTTCTCAGCTCTCAGAGAAGCATTTGATGTGTATCATCATCAGAGTTGTGTCTACTGACGGTCATATTGAGTTGTTGTTCACATAAAATAAAATTTGAGAGTAAATACAATTTCATTAGAAATTTGAGAATAAACCAATTCTGGTATTAAAGATCTATCTGGTGATTCTTTTTCATTCTGTATATATCTGTAAAAAGACTAAACTTACACTGAAGCCTGAAAATCTCCACGAAGAAACTTTCCTAAGGTTCTGTTTATTATTGTATAAAAGGATAATCACAAACTAACTTTAACGAAGCCCTATCCCTACTTTGGGATCCCTTGGTTCAAATAGTTAACATTCTAAGCTATTAACTGAAAGATTGGGTATCTGAGTCCACTCAAAGATGCCTTGAAAGAAAGGCCTAGAGGTGTTCTTCTGAAAAAAGAAGCCCTTACAACTCTATGAAGCACAGTTCTATTCTGACAGGTATGATGTTGCTGTAAGTTGAAATTGACTCAGCAGCAACTTTTTTTCTTTTTTAACAAAATACCTATTTTATGGATTGATGTATTGCCTGGGCTCCGTGACTAGCAAATGCCCCTCATAGATATTTATGGGACTGATTTCTTATGGATGGCAAAGCTACAAATGATTTTCATTTGACAGTAGGATAAATGTAACCCTGAACAACAAATTTCAGTGAAGGAATTGATAAAACGATTGTATATCACAAAGTTGAGCAGTACTTATAACATGTTAATAGTGAGTATTTTGGAAGCAGATTGTCTTGAGTTCAAATCCTAGCTCCATCACATTATCTCCTTTGTGACCTTGGACAAGTTGTTTAACATCCAAGTTTGAATTCCTTGTCTGTAACGTGGAGATAAAATTTGTTATCTTAAGAGTTTGCTGGAGAGGAAAGTAACATATGAAAATCATTTAATAAATAGGTACTCATTTCTGCTTACAAAAGACACCAAACATCTCACTCTCAGTATTAACCAAAATAAAATTGGAAAATATGTGTTTGAGATATTTGTTAGTGAATTATGAAAATAACTCTGTTGCAGTCTAGATTTACATATTATCCAAAGAGAAAGATTTGTAGTGAATGTTTCCAGAGTTCACTTTTGTAGCTGTGTCTACCATCTACAATAACATGAAGAAGTGTAAGTTTAAGAATTTTAATTCATGCTATTTAATGGAAATAATGAAAGCTTGCAATAATTAAATCTAATATTTGAGAAGAAATCTACTTGTGTTATCAGTATTTTAGAAAATTATTTTAAATTCTCAACGACCTAACTCCAAGGTGGTAAATGTGATCACAGTTGGTGGTAAATGTGATCACAATTGGTTATAGCCTCCTGTAAGTGCATTATCACATAACTACTTAATATAGAGGATCTTGCTGAACTTACATGCAGAATAACTGGGAAGTAGTAAAAATAAAATTTGACTACTGCTCACAGTTATTATTGGAACTCAGCTGTTATCAGTATTGTGATTTTTATGTAAAGTGTGCAGTTTAACAGAGCTAACTTTTTGGAGTATTTGCTTCAGAAGTTATTGTGAAATGTTACATTTACAAAAAGGTGTTTTAATTTGTAAATGGCTACTTGTTTGTAAGTACTTTACTGCTGTTCTCTTGATGTTTCCCCCATTAATTTTTTTTCTTAATTGACGTCTGTACTTTCTCTCTCTCTACCTCCCTGGCAGTCTTTTCCCTATAAAAGGACCCATCTGTCTAAGGTAGAGATTCTCCATTTCTATCTACTTACCAATGACTAAACTGGCAGGAGTAGACATACTTACTCATTCCGAAGTCTTATCTACCTCTGCCTTTTCAATACAGTGATGTTTTGTTGTTTTCTTTTAAGCAAAATATTTTCTTTTCAGTCTGAAGTTAGGCACTCAAAAGTATGGCTAATTTCTACTGTAGTCATAGAGTAAAGAATGCATCTTAAAGCTTGCTAATCTATGGTCATTAAAATAGTACTTGAAAAATGCTGTTTTTTGTAGTATGTGTGACTCTATATACAGAGAATGAGAGAGAGAACATTTCTTTATGAAAAGTGACTCATTTTCATTTGATTTTATTAGACTTGAATTTGAAAGGCAACAGCGTGAAGAACTTGAAAAATTAGAAAATAAAAGGTAAGCCACGTGGAGTATGGGTGTTAGTCTGTGGAGTCCTGTTTTTATGTCCTGAACTGATTTCATCTATGTCTGTTCCAATTCCTCTCTTTTTTTCTGTGTTTCTATTTTTAGTTTCATGTCTCATGGTTTTAGGTTATTTCTTGGTAGGAAGTGTTTTTACTTAATGTTTGAATTTTTTTAACAGTTCGTTCTTCATACACTTTTAAGAAAGGGGGAATATAGTCAGTGGGCAAATTTAATACACCAATTAAATTTAATATGGCAGATATGTACTTTAAAAAATGTATATCACATGTGTAGCTTCTCTTAACAATACCTTCTGAGTTTTAAAAAGCCAAAAGAATGACAAATTTCCTTTCTTTTCTCTCTCTTCTTTTTAAACATCTTTCCTGATATTGATTGGCCATTTGTGCTACACCTGGTAATGTAGTGTTTAAAGCATTCAGCTGTTAATTGAAAGATCAGTGATTCAAACCTACTAGCCACTCTGTGGTAGATAGATGTGGCAGTCTGCTTCCATAAAGATTGATAGCCTTGGAAACCCTATGGGGCAATGCTGCTCTGTACTGTAGGGTTGCTATGAATCTGAATTGACTTATCAGCAGTAGGTTTGTTTTTTTCTGGGGCTTATCACTCCTTCTGTGACTTCTTTGCTCACTTTTCTTTTGGGGTATATGTGCCTCTGTGGGTGGGTGTGTATTTAATTGATTTGGGGGACTTCCTTATATGTTCTGAGTATAATTTTTTATTTGATACAGACTGTGTTTTCTCCTTTTCTTTGATGTTGTTTAACAAGCTCAGAAATGGACCAAGGAGACTCGATTTTGGATTAGGAGCTAAGCCTATAGAGAACATGAGTATTTATTTTCTAGAATTTGGAGTATAGATATCACAGATGAATTGGTTTGGTTTCTAGCATAATGCATGATAGATCTTTGGTGGGCCAAGAAATGAAGTTCACTCACTGATACTCTTACATACCCTGTGTTCTTGCTTTGAAGGCCATCTTGGCCCCAGAAATTTGACTTAGTACGCAGTAGGGTTAGTTTTTCCACCTCAGGCAAAATAAAACATGCAATCCCCAGAATCATGCAGTTGAGTATTCTAATAGAGATTCTGACTATTTTCAATGTTATGTATTAATAAAGTAATGTTTTAGGCCATTTGGTAATCACCATTTGTCCTAAACTAGTGATTGCATGATAAATACAGGTTATTTCAGCTGGAATAATACACTGTCAGTTTTCTTGAGCCTGATATTTGACTCCACTAAATTGAGGACAGCATGAGCATTTTTACCCCCTGAATTTTATTTATCTTGTTGTTCTTGAGATAATGCACAGCTAAATACACACCAATTCAACAGTTTCTACATATAAAATTTAGTGGCAGTGTTCACATTCAAGTTGTACAACCATTCTCACCTGTCTTTTCTGAGTTGTTCCTCCCTCGTTAACATAAATTTGTTGTCCCGTAAGTTCCTATCTGATCTTTCAAGTTGCTCTTGTCAGTTGGCTCCCATTTGGATAGTTCTTAAAAGAGCATGATGCTCAAGGCAGACATTTCTTATTAGTTAAGCTAAACTATTGTTCGGTTTTAAGATGACTTGAGGGGATATTTTTGGTTTAAGGTTTAAAGATTATCTCAGGGCAGTAGTTTTGGGGAGCATAAGCATTTTTATTTAATGTCATCCTGTAATAGAACTTCTCCTCAGTTTTAGTCATTGGATTCAATAAGACTATTCACATTTAAATTTAAGTTAGGCATGGTTCTTTCTCTTTCAGTGCAGAATAATTTTTTCACTTATGTCATGTGTAGCATGATTTTAGGCTCTATAAGGACATGATATCAGAGTCTACTTCAGGAGTCTAGGCAAATGATATTCTAGACAGTTAAAGAATAAAGAAAAAAACAAATAGTGTGTGGCAGAAAATTAAAGGGAAAGCAGTCCCTCCTTTTTTTTTTTTTTTATTTTAATGAAAGATTTCACTTTATGTTGTATCTTCATTGTCAGAGCATTGCAATTAAGGGAAAGTTAGAGCAAGATTTGAATATAGTGATCAAATAATCTATTATTTTGGGTTTTAGAAAACTTATAGAAGAAATGGAGGAAAAGCAGAAATCAGACAAGGCTGAATTGGAGCGGATGCAGCAGGAGGTGGAGACTCAGCGCAAGGAGACAGAAATCGTGCAGCTCCAGATCCGCAAGCAGGAGGAGAGCCTCAAACGCCGCAGTGTCCATATTGAGAGTAAGCTGAAGGATTTGCTTGCCGAGAAGGAAAAGTTTGAAGAGGAGAGGCTGAGGGAGCAGCAGGAGATGGAGTTGCAGAAAAAGAAACAAGAGGAGGAGAGCTTTCTCTGTGTCAAAGAAGAACTCAAGTGGCTACAAGAACTCAACAATAATGAGAAGGCTGAGAAGATTCAGATATTTCAAGAACTGGACTGGCTCAAAAAGGAAAAAGATGAGCAGTCTGCCAAGCTCGAACTGGAAAAGAAGAGACTGGAGGAGCAAGAACAGGAGCAGTTCGTGCTTGTGGCACATCTTGAAGAGCAGATCCGAGAGCAGCAGGAGATTATCCAACTCCTGCAGCGAGGTGAGGTCCAGCGTGTAGAAGAGGAGAAGAGAGACCTAGAGGATATCCGAGAGTCTCTTCTGCGGGCCAAGGAGACGCGGGCTGAAGGGGATGATGGTGGGGAAGAACAAGAAATGGCTCAACTGCATTTCTTAGAGTTCAAGAGAAGGCAAGTAGTCAAGCTAGCAAACTTGGAGAAGGACCTGGTTCATCAGAAGGACCTCCTGAAGAAAGAAGTTGAAGAAGAACAGGAAATCCTAGGGCATTTAAAATATGAAAATAAAGATGAATTTAGGCTGTTGGACAAAAATGATGACAGTGTCAAACATGTCACACAGGGAATTCAAGAGTTAGAGAAAATAAAGCCAGCAGAGAACAGGCTGCAGTATAAAGAACACCAACTACAATACCTCCTGCAGAACCATCTGCCAACTTTGTTGGAAGAAAAGCAGAGAGCATTTGAAATCCTTGACAGAGGCCCTCTTGGCTTAGACAACACTCTCTATCAAGTAGAAAAAGAGATAGAAGAAAAAGAAGAACAACTTATGCAGTACCAGGCCAATACAAGCCAGCTGCAAAAGCTGCAAGCCACGTTTGAATTCACCGCCAACATTGCACGCCAGGAAGAGAAAGTGAGGAAAAAAGAAAAGGAGATTCTCGAGTCCCGAGAGAAGCAGCAGAGAGAGGCACTGGAGCAAGCTGTTGCCAAGCTGGAGAGGAGGCACTCTGCCTTGCAGAGGCGCTCCACCCTGGGCCTCGAGATTGAAGAGCAGAGACAAAAACTTGCAACTCTGAACAGCAGTGGCAGTGTGCAGTTGGAGCTGCAAGCCAGCCTGGAAGCTGAGCAGGAAGCTCTTGAGCAGGACTGGGAAAGGTAAGAGGTGAAAGAGGAAACCAAGGCATGTTGTTGTTATGTGCCATTGAGTTGGACTCAACTCATAGCGACCCTTCCTTGGGTTTCCGAGGCAGTATCAGTACGGAAGTAGATTGCCCAACCTTCCTTCTGAGGAGTGGCTGGTGGGAACTCTGGTAGTATAGTCCTTAAGGCACTTGACTGCTAACCAGAAGGCTAACCAAACCCACCAGCCACTCCTCGGAAGGAAGGTTGGGCAATCTACTTCCGTACCGCCTCGGAAACCCAAGGAGGGGTCGCTATGAGTCAGATCCGACTCAACGGCAGTGCGTTTGGTTTTTGGTTTGGTAATTCTTCTTAAACTTTTTATTCTCGAATATGCAAATGCTTATTTTTACCAAACTTGAGACAAATAACTCTCAAACTCAAACCAAACTCACTGCCATCAAGTTGATTCTGACTCAATAGGGACGCCCATTGAGTTTCTAAGACTGAAAATCTTTATGGAAGCAGACTGCCTTATCTTTCTTCTGCAGAGTACTGGTGTATTTGAATCACCAACCTTTTGACTATCTTAACCTTAACTACTATACTGCCAGAGCTCCTTACAAGTACCTCTATACATTCTTTTATTTCTCTCTACTATCCTTATTTTAGAATCTTTGGCCTAAAGTTGAAGGGGAAAAAAATCATATATACAAACATGAAGGCTTTGTCTATTACCCCATTGACCTATGGAATGTGTTTGCTTTAATATTTTGATAAATACAACAGATTGAGAAAACTTCCAGCCTTGATTCCTCTCTTCCTTTTCCCTTCTCTCCTGTGTCCTCCCTCCATTTTCCTTTCCCTTTCTTTCTCTTCCCTTTCCTCTCTTCCTCCCTTTTGTCTTTTCTTTTATCCTTCCTTCCCGTCTCCCTGTCTCTTTCCCTCCCTCCTTCCCTTACTTTCTCTGCCATTCTTTCGATCCTTGTCTTTCTCTCTTCCTTCTTCCCTCCCTTTTCCCTTGTCTGTTTCCTTCTCCTCTTCCCTCACCTTCCCTTTCCTCCCTCACCAGTACCGTCACAGCTTCTCGGTGACTAGTGCTTGTTACAGTAAACAAATTTCATTTCAGATTGGGAACTGAAAAAAGCTTCCACCTCTACTGATTCATAATATTTGAGGCAAGGACTCAGGATCCTCTGTTAATAAAACAAATAAATAGTACGACCAAAACTTTTTAGATGATTCTGAACACAGTGTTATATTCAAATATGCATTGTGCTGATTTGTAATATCTGATATTATTTTTTATGGTATGAAAAAATAAAATCAGCAAACTAGAACTATTTTCATGGTAAGGGAAAGACATTCATTCCTTTCTGTACCTATTCCCTGTCATCATGCTTACTGTTTACCAGGCAGTAGATTCTCTAAATGAATTAATGCATGAATTTGATAGCACTTTTTCAGGTGGCCCTGCAGATGTAGTGCTGGGATGCCTGGAAAGGCTGATGCCACCGGTGTGCAAATAGCACCCAGTTTGGAATCAGGTGGTAGAGAATCATATCTGGACCCAGACCCTTCTGACTTTGCTGAGCAGGGGTGTTTTACCTTTAGGACTCAGTTTCCTCACCTATATATTAAGTGGGTGGACAACATCAGGTGTGTCCATTTTCTTTTAGCCCAGACCCTTGTATTAGTTGCAATCTTCAATAAAGCCCTGATTGAATGTCCTAGAACCATCCTTCTCCCCAGTACAGTCTCCACAGCATCTCCTGAGCAGCTACTTTAAAAGCTTATGGTCTCTAAGATCCCACCCTGTCATTTTGACAGAGACATGGGATCAGTGGTTTATGACAAGGCAATTCCTACTATAAGAGATTGAAGTCTCTATCCACCATCTTGCCTGAAGAGGTCAGGAAAACCTCCTTGTCAAATGATCTGCTTATAGACTATGGATTATATTCACAATAACTCCCTTAGGCAAGTTAGAGCAACAAAATTACAATTAAAAAAAAAAACAAAAAAAAACCATAATGCTCTTGCTTCAGAGAAATAGGTCAGAGGTTTAAGAAAATGATTACAGGTGTGTTATGTAAATGAAATTGCCAGACAAAGCTCCAGTCCTAGAAAATTTAAAGCAGTGGAGGGCATGCTTTCAATTCGTACCCTGTATTGTGCAGAAGATTGCTGCATGAGCTTTTAGCTTGATGTCCCTGCCTTCTGACAACCAGCTGTACCATTCCTCCAGGAGCCCTGTAAAGGAGGCCCTTAGCTTTACAGGATTTGATGGGATAGACATTGCTGAGGGCTGATTCAGGCTGACAAACTGATGTGATGATCGCTTTGCTATCACTGTTGTGCCTCTGCAGCTTTCTCTAGGGGTTTCTACTGTGTTGTATTTTCTTCCAGGGTTGTCATTGCTCAACCAGAACCCACCTCACTTTGCCATTTAGAAAATTCCATAAATGTGAAATTTAAATTTATTTCATGTGGGGCCAGACTGGATAGCATTGTCCTAAATTTGGCTTTCTCTTTGTCTTCTCAGTGCATTCTCAAGGAACTTAAAATCCATTTTGCTGTTTTTTTCCTACCACCTGCTCATTGAAACTGCCCCGATGACATGAATCAGGCAGCTTCCCTATAATTTGTAAAACCCTCCTGTCACCTTAGCAGAGCTTTTGGATTTGCTTCCCTTGTGTGGGTCAGAGCAGAAGCAAATGATCAGAGCTCTATAATAATATTGTAGTGATAGTAGTCACATTAGTAATGATTCCAATTACAAAGAATAATTCTGTAATCAGACTGTGTTATATATGCTTTATATATGCACTATCATTTAATCTTCAAACGATGAGAATGCCAGTATACCCAGTTTATACATGGGTAAATGGAGGCCTGCAATGGTTATGTAACCATGTCACTAGTTAATAAATAGAGAGTAGCAACTTGAATTGAATTCTACTTACCATCCAGCTCTTAACCACTTTCCTATCTTGCCTGCTGAGTTGCCCAGTTTGTCCGTAACCATCATATAAATCCTGCTTGACCTTCAGGGCTCCACTCAAACCCCATTTTCTCTGTGAAGTCTTTTCTACTGCCCCAGTTCTGAAAGCCTTCCCTAACAACTCCAGTAGACATTGTCTTAATTATGAACATTGGTAAACCTACTTACGGTAGTTCATTTTCTCTGTCATTTCTAAGAACCTGTTACTGTTGTTCCCTGGTTCTTTGCCCACCAGCTGGCCCCTTACACCTCGCTTATACATATACATATACATATACATATACATATACATATACATATAGTATGTCCTTATTTGAAAGTATTATATGGTCTGCAAGTTGATGCTCAGTAAATACTTGCTAATCAGTAGACAGTCACAAGACTGAGTTAAGCTGGGCACTGCCTTCTGTGGAACCTATGAGTGCCTGGTATCCTGATCCCATGATCACATGTCTGAGAGTTGAGAAGTTGGCTTTCATTTTCAGGATAGATCAGTTAGGTTGCTTTTGGTGATACCAGAGGGCTGAGAGCATCATGGTATATTGTTGTTGTTGTTATTTGCTGTCGAGTCGGACCCTACTCATAGCAACCCCTCCTTGGGTTTCCAAGGCATTATCACTACGGAAGTAGATTGCCTAAACTTGCTTCCAAGGAGTGGCTGATGGGTTTGAACTGCCAACCTTCTGGTTAGCAGTCAAGTGCCATAGGCACTACCCTACCAGAGCTCCTTCATGGTATATTAGCATCTGAATTCAGAATTACTGATTTTGGGGGCAAAAGAATTTAGAGAGACTAATTGACTTTCTTTTGCCACATGAAGAAATTGAGACTCAGATTTAAATAACTTGCCATAATTCATATAGTGAATGACTACAGCCCTTAGCCAGATTTTAGGCTCCCTGGTATGAAGTTTACTTGTACACTTGGCTATTCTAGCTTGATGGGTCCAGATTCAAGCATGCCTGGGCTTGTAGAAGAAGGGCCTTATACGTATTTGACTTCATATTAGATGTATTCTTCTTCATTGGAGATAAGTGCTTGATTTCACAGTTTTGGGTTTGATTTCTGCAGTACTCAACCTGCTTTCCTTGTTTGCTTTTATCTCCTACTCCCCTCTCCTTTCCATTAGCCAGAGTAGATTTCTGATTTTTTGGCTTAGCATCTTTATTCTATTGCTTCTGTATATGGAGAACTTCCATCATCATTTCCAAAAAGTTCAGATTCCCACTGGCTTCTTAAAACTCAGCTTAGAACTGCCTTGACCATGAAGATCCTCCTTGATTGGTGATTTAAAAACTCTTCAGGGCATGGATTTCTTTTGTGAAACAAATATTTGGGGAAATCCCAATATATGGTCCACTATCAGCTATTCTGTTGAAGCAAGGGCTCAGCATCCTGTACATCCCTCTCTGAGCACTTCCTTAGAACACTGTGGGAATATCTGTGTCCTTGTTGGTAGAAGTCCCTCCATCTTTGAGACACCTGCAGCACCTGTATTGAACCCCTTTTGTAGCCCATTATCACCTTGTGTCTTGTCTTTAACATATGTGGCACTTTTTCTACTAGAAAATAAAGTTCTTTTTATGTAGGGCTCTTGTCTGGATCTCCCATGGTTTCTGGAACAATGAATGTTTCACATAGCAAAGATGCTCAGGAGATACTGTTAACAAATGAATTCATGTGGTTCCCCTCTCTGTAGGTTACAACATGAAATCCAGCAGTTGAAGCAGAAGATCTGTGAGTGTGATGGCATTCAGAAATGGTATTGTGGGACCCTGGAGGGGAAGGCTGCTGCTTCTAGTCTACCACCCAGTACTGAAAAGTCTCAGGCTCATCTGGTCCCACTGATGGATGCCAGGTACTTGACATTCAATGGATGTCATGCCTGCATTTGTAATGTGATTTAAAAAATCACTAGTCCTTGTGCTGATCAAATTTCATGTGGAGGGATCTACCAAAGTCAACAAGTAATGAGTGCACCTGAAATATGCTATTGCCCAAGACTGGTGGGATGCACTATCATTAATCGGGAATCAAAGATCTGAGAATTGGATGGTCACATCCAGTGAATATTGGTACAGATTATTTGTGTGAGTAAATATAATTAAAAGGTCCAGCGAAATCAACCTACCTGGGAAGGAGTGATGTGAGGCCAGATTGGGAAGAACAAAAAGTAGAATTAATTGAATTGTACCAAGATGGAAGACCTTCTACTGATAGTTAATTTTCTATATAAGTCATTGATTACAGATAAATGAAATCTGTTATAAAAAGTGTTCCAGTATATTCAGAATGATCATGACTAGCATAAAATTATATCTGATGTTACTAGAGGAAATTGATTTTCTGTTTGGGTGGCATTGTGAATTGTTCCATAGCTTAGAGCTCCCAGTTAAATCAGCTTAATCATTTTTTGCCTATAAGAAAATGACAGTTATTTTCATCAACCCCATCTAGGTCACAGGGACATTTTAAATTGGCTAGTTCTTCTGGGTATTAGAAGATTTAGAGTATTTGGATATCAAAATGTAATAACAATGGCATTAGCCTCTGTATCTCTTTAAATCTATATCTTCTTCTTCTCTATTACTAGTTTAAAATTTAAATAAACGGCATGTAAATGGTCTTGGCTCAGATTCAGTTGCACATGGTTTTATTTTTAGTACTAGAATGTAAATACCACACTTGATTACCTTCAATGCCCCCGTCTGCAATATTTTACTTAAAATATTAATGTCTTTGTATAGCATTTTAGAAAATCATTTTTACCTTGGTCAGTAGTGAAAAAGTGTTTATGGCATTATGTATATGCTTAAAGAGAGTAAGCCAATTTTTTTTTTCTTTTACTATTCAAAGGTATAAACATAGAAAATAGCTCATTAAAAATAATTCATCTAATCTCTGTCTGTAGGATTGAGGTTAAAGATGCCTAGAACTGAGTAAAATTTCTATCTGGGCACACTGAGCCTCTGGAAAGATTTTAGATGAAATTCAAATTTTTGTCTCTCTGATTCCTCTGGATGGAATGGCCTGAAGCCAGATCAACTTAAAGCCAAATCTGATTTTGGGCTAAAATCTAACTAGAGTATTGAAGGCTGATGGTTGTGTGTCATACAACTTCACATATATTCTGTGGTGTACCATATATACATACAGTGGAAAGCTCCCTCAAAAGTCAACTTTTTGGCTTTCACTCTGCCTTGACCCACTCTGACGGACATTTTGTAAAGTAAACCAAATCAAACCCATTATGTCAAGTCGGTTCAGACTCATTGTGACCCTATGGTATGTTGTTGTTGTTGTTGTTGTTATGTGCCGTCGAGTCGGACGCACCTCATAGCAACCCCTCCTTGGGTTTCCGAGGCAGTATCACTGAGGAAGTAGATTGCCCCATCTTCCTTCTGAGGAGTGGCTGGTGGGTTTGAACTGCTAGCCTTCCAGTTAGCAGTCAAGTGCCTTTAGGCACTACACTACCAGAGCTCCTGACCCTATAGTATAGAGCCCTTTAAAATGTGATTTCCACCACTAGTTCAGGTAGCACAGATGGGGAGACAAGACAGATGAGGAACAGGGCAAGACACTGTTTCATGATAATAATGAAGATTCACAGAGAATGTGTGCACCTTTCTTATCGTCATAAATGACCTTGTTGTTGTTGTTACGTGCCATCGAGTTGGTCCTTACTCATAACATATGCTGTGAAAAATAATTAGTACCATTTTCTGTTTGAGGAAACTGTGGCTTGGCAACTAAAGTGTCTGGTTTCAGAGTAAGATCTGAGACCATGGAGCTTTGTGAAGCCAGTGTCTATGATTCCCCAGCTTTTCCGTGGGGTTTCCATTATGAACATCTGCAAAAGATTTGGGTGTGATCACTTAGTCTCTTTTCCATTCCCAAGATTCTGTTCTTCCTCAGGTTCTGGTTTGGGGAAAACACCAAATACTGAACACATGGCACTAGGTTTCTTAGGAAAAAATTGTTAATGGTCCTGAAGTGGTGTTAGTGTTTGACATTTTGAATGGGACAGTCTTCTGTTATGAAGGTATGATAGGAGCTCAAAATGTTCCATATGGTTAAAAATGTTCAAAGGGCCCTAACTCCATTATTTTAAGGATCAATGCCTATATTGAAGAAGAAGTCCAAAGACGTCTTCAGGATTTGCATCGTGTGATTGGTGATAATGGCAGTACGTCTGCAGAAGTGATAAAGGTGAGCTGAAGGAGCAAAATCATCTAGTCATTCCTTCTCAAGGTGATCTTTAAAATAAGTTAGTGGTGGTGATGGTTGGACTTACTACTGGTTCTCAGTGAGAAAGTTCAGATGTTAACACTGAAATACACGTTGACTATGGAACATTCTAGGAAAAATAAATATTGCTTGAATGGGATTTAACAGTTTGTAAATAGTATTAATTCAAGAGTAACTATTTAAAAAAAAAAAAAAAATTCTGGACTTCTAGGAGAGTTATTATATAAATACAAGTCACCTAAAATGCTGCATTTACTTTGCTTGATTTATAAAAATTCTACATGTACTATTTTTCTATTTTATCTTAAAAAACAGCTCTCCTTTTCCATGAAACATTTAATATACTTTGTAAATTACCCAAAGTGGAAATAAATACACATTTTGCCTTTAAGAAGATGGATATTTGTGACAAGTTGATTTTTATCAACAAAAATCTTTCATTTCTGTCTTACATATTAAGGATTATCCTAAGGAAGTCTTATTTTAAATACACTTTTTTAGAATTTTAAGATTAGGAATAAATGGTTCAATTTTCTTACAAGCAGATAGATAAATAGAGTCATGTTTATGTAGAGAATATAAATTCTATACACAGTTGTCATTGTTGAATAGCAAGTATGTTTCTTTAGAAGTTTGTTCCTATAAATAGTCCTAATCAAATCAGTTTTCCTCCCTATGAAAATACTATAATTTAATATAGCAGGCTTTTTATTTTCTTTTTAGGATAATGAGAAACTTCACAATGGCACCATTCAGCGTAAGCTAAAATATGAGGTAGGTAATGATTTTTCTGATTGATAGGGTTGTCTTAAATTATCGCATGCTTATGTGATTAAATTTTCTTAATGTTTAGTTGCATAATTAGAATTTTGAAGTTCCAGTGAGATTAATGGCTAATAGGGAAGGCAGGCTATTATATGGTCTTAAAATTAAATGGAATCCAGCAGGTTGAAAAGTGCTTTGACTTTATTTGAATGGCATGTAGCTGTGGTAGAAGCCCTTTGCCCAGTATTTCTTTTGTAACAGTATCTTTTCCCTTGGTCTATATTTAAAAGGCAGAGTTATATAATCAGAATCAGATACAGCATTTGGAAATGAAACTGAGTGCTCTCTATGTATGAAAAACCCTGTTCCCATTACAGACTGTGCATTGGCACTAGTACAAAGGAAATAATCTTGATTGATAACTGATTTCTCTGGTGGATTGTCAAATCAATGCCTATTTGGGCATATGGTTTGTAAGGTTTTACTTGTATTTTCCTTTGCTGAGGGGCATATCTTTCCCTTACATTCCTAAATTAAAAAAAAAAAAAAATCTTATACTGGATGATAGAAATTTTATGGCTGGTGTCCATACAATATTGAAGAGGGAGCAAGAGAATGGGTGTTACACTGGCCATTACTCTTGCTGCTAATCATCCAGTAATAACATTGTGTTTCTTCTGGATGTCCATCTCCTTAGAAGACAACTTTGTAACAAGCAGGACATCACCTTTCATTTAGGTATGTCCAAAATACCTGGCACATAGTAGGCATACAATGAAACTTTCCTGATTTGTAGATAAGAATGATGACAATCTAACCAAGATAGAGATAATTAAGGATCCCCATGGAACAAGCCAAAAGGAGAGAAACACATGGCCTGGTTTGGAATATACTTTTCCCTTCACTTATCTCGTTATCTGACAATTGGCATTTATGATCACAGTAAAAAAATCTATCCAACTATCTTGCATATTTATAGCATACATCTGGTAGTAACAAATGTCGAGGTGCAAGGTAAGAGTAACACTGGCTTTGATGGTTAAAATTATGTGTCAACTAGGCCATGATTCTTAGTAGTTTGGCATTTATATAATGATACAATTTTATACTTATCTAATGACATAATCATCTTCCATTCTCTCATAACACTGATTGTGCATAATGTCCTGGTCTTTAGAACATAACTCTGTCAGTAAAGAGAAGTACTTGTGAATTTCTTTTGTCTTTGCCATCTGATTTTCCTAAGTATGCTCTGATTTATTTTATTACATTTTGTTTATATGGGCATGCACTTATTTTCACAACTAAATTTGACCTTTTAAAAGTTGAATCAAACATTTTAGGATTTATGAAACTGAAATATTAGACCAAGAAATGGATTCTGTGGATCAATACCATGTAATGTGTATCCATCAAACCAAAAAAAAAAAAAAACTCACTGTCATTGAACTGGATCCAGCTCATAGTGACCCCTACTTGGGTTTCCTAGGCGGTATCACTACGGAAGTAGATTGCCCAACCTTTCTTCTGAGTAGTGGCTGATGGGTTTGAACCATTAGCAGTCAAATGCCATAGGCAGTGCACTACCAGAGCTCCTGTATCTATCAAAATATATCTATGAAAATATTTGCCCATTTATGATGTATTTAATATGGAAATTGATCATCTGTATGTGAATTAGATCATTAATTCTAAACTATCCTGGAAGAAATGCAGCTGGAATGCTCCGTAGAAGTAAGAATGACCAGAGTTCGTCTCACCTACTTTGGTTATGTTGTCAGAAGGGACTGGTCCCTGTAGAAGGATACCATACTTGGAAAAGTAGAGAGTCAGCAAAAAAGGGGAAGACCCTCAATGAGAGATGGATTGGCACAGTGTCTGCAACAATGGACTCAAGCATAGCAAGGATTATGGGGATGGCACAGTAGTAGACAGTGTTTCATTTTGTTGTACATAGGGTCGCTGTGAATCTGAGCCAACTCAACGGCACCTAATAGCAACAACGTTCTAATTTTTATTGTTCTTAAATCCTACATCGATTCATATAAATGTCTCAGGTTTTCAATTTAACCTGTGAATCAGTCCATTAAATGAAACCAATAACTGCAAGATTCACAAATGGTGGCCCTACATCCCCATTTCAATTTTTTTTTACATCATGAACAGAAAAGGTAGCCTTGGCTGGCATGATATCTTGTAAAACTTCTTCCCTGACATTTCCAGCATCATTAGAATAGATAAGTAGAAAGTGGATCGGAACACACACTGGAATCATCCATGAAATGGAATATCTCAGGACTTAAGACTTCGTCTTAAGCATCTCTAGAATGAACCCACCAAGAAAGACGTCAGTCTTTGGTACAGAGAAATTAGCAGGGCAGTAATTACAAATACAGTTGTCCTGAACCTGTTGGCTATTTCAAACCTAAATGTTGTAATCTACCTAAAATCTCTTTTAGTTTGCTTAAAGAAAGCAACACCAGTGAGGCAGAATATTTTCAGGGTAAATCAGAAAAGTTCAGTAAGTTGATGACTCACAGAGAAGAACATATCTTGGGGAGTGAGTACACCTGAACATTGCTACAAAATACTTCCCTAAAAGTGTTGATAAATAGTGGATATACACAGACCTAGTAGAGCAAGGTGCTCTGCTTTGTCCTGATAGTGTTTCTAGGGAGGAGAGTGTATCTGAAGGTCTTCTCCAAAAATCCTAACTTTGGTGTCTCATAGTGGACAGCAAGCTTAGAAAGAAGTAGCTGCTAAAAAAGTTAGCTCTCTAGAGTCACTTGTAAACATCAGAACAGAACAATAAACTGGAATGTTTTTACCACAGATACTTAGACCTTTATAAAGATACCAATGATCACTTGCTACAGGCTCACACAAAGGTGGATCAGTCAAGCCAGGCATGTGGACAGCCTGTGTGACCCAAGTGAGCTGACCTTCCAGGTAATAACATTCATCAGAAACCTGCCATTTCTGAAACACATACCCTTGGACATGCCCTTGAAGTCACACCTGGTGTCATCAGACTCTCATTGTTTTTCCCGAAGCTCAGATTGGCAACAGCCACATTCAAGAAGGCCAGCAGAGAGCAGCAAGCCCTACACAGCTCTTGCTGTCACAGCTGCAGATTTATCAGATTCCTTGCCAAGCTCAGTGCCCTGGCTTGAATATGAAGGTAGTGAAAGACTTCTGCATTTAAGCAGACCCTTGTGTATTTTCTAGACAGAATGTCAAAACTTCAAGAGCACCCTTGAAAAGACTACCAGAACCTTTGGATGACATGAATGAAGTCAAAGGTGTTTATTGGCTTGCTGTTGCTAACTGTACAGAACCTGTCTCCCAACTAGTATACTTGCTCCTTCTTCATTCAACTTTGTATATTTTGGTTTTGTCATATAATCAGCTGGGCTCAGTGGGCATTTTTCATGCTCTGCATCTCTCTGGACTAAAGGAGATTGAAATCTGCTTTGATGGACACTGTTCGATTCAGGGGCTCTTTAGAGGGTCTCTTGCTCACTGTATCCTGTTAACCACAAAAATTTCTCTCAACAGATACGCTGTGATCTCCTTTGTATTTCAATGTCAGAGTCTGAGGTTGCTACCTGCACCAATTATTCTTTGCTTAAGCAGGATCTGGTTCAGCTTTCTCTTGATTAGAAAGCAGAAACCTCTGACTTAGTTTTGACAGAGCTCGATTGTTACCCGAATTCCAGAAGATATTATCCGACATGATTTACTTTCTTCATGGAAATTTGGAAGTCAGTAGCCCCTCTTTGGTAGGGGTCTGGTTATGGATCAGAGTTGAGGGTGACTCTGGTCAAGGTCATTGCTCATCATTAGTTCTTATGAACACCCACATTGCACTTGTAAAGAAAGATGGCATTTTTCCTCACACTAAGTCTGTAATATATCAAACTGTATTTCACTGATATTCATGAGATTTTCGCTGGCTAATTCTTTGAGAAGTGGATAGCCTCTTCCTTCTTCTGAGTCTGACTTAGTCTGGAAGCTCTGCTGAAACCTGTCCACCATGGGTGACCCTGTTCTCATTTGAAACACTAGTGACATAGCCTCCAGCCTCACAGCAACACACAAGCCACCACAGGATGACAAACTGACAGACAAGTTCATCCCCCTTAGCTTTTCCAAACTGCTCTACTCCCACTTCCCAGCCTGCTTTACCTGTTCTGGTCCTCCAAAAGCCGGCTGCCACTGCTTCCCAACCTGCCCTACCTGTTCTGGCCCTCCAAAAGCCATATTGGTAGTGAAGGAAAACTTGAAGCTGCACTGAAGAAATCAAAGGTGCACTGAAGAAACTGGTGAAAAACAAGGCTCTGGGCGGAATACCCATTGAGATGTTTCAACAATTGGATGCTGCACTGGAGGCACTCACTTGGGTATGACAAGAGATTTGGAAGACAGTTACCTGGCCAACTGACTGGAAGAGATCCATATTTGTACCCATTCCAAAGAAAGGTGATCTTACAGAATGTGGAAATTGTTGAACAATATCATTGATATGACATGCAAGTAAAATCTTACTGAAGATAATGCAAAAATGGTTGCAGCAGTATATTGACAGAGAACTTCCAGAAATGCAAGCTGGATTCAGAAGGGGACATAAACCAAAAAAACAAACTCACTGCCATCAAGTCAGATCTGACTCGTAGTGACCCCCCCTTGGGTTTCCGAGGTGGTATCACTACTGAAGTAGATTTCCAACCTTCCTTCCAAGAAGTGGCTGGTGGGTTTCAACCACCAGCCTTCTGGTTAGCAGTCAAATGCCTTAAGCACTGCACCACCAGAGCTCCTAGGAAGGGAACGTGGAGCGAGGGATATCATTGCTCTTGTCAGATGGATCTTGGCTGAAAGCGACGAATACCAGAAAGATGTGTACTTGTATTTTATTAACTATGCAAAGGCATTCGATTGTGTGGATCATCGCAAATTGTGGATAACATTGAGAAGAGTGGGAATTCCAGAATACTTAATTGTACTCATGA